AAGGAAATGAATGGCACCAGATAATGGAACTCAGGATAGGGTGACAAGACTGGAGGTCTCATTCACGGAAGCAGCTGAGGGGGCATTTGGCTCCCACTGAGGTAGTATTCTTGAGGTAACATGTTGGGAAGAAGCTCCATACATCATGCCTTAATGTAAAGCATCAAAAACAGCCTTAAAAATGCACTTGCTATGCTCTTCTCTTGAGTATCTATGAGCCCTGAGCTGCCCACAGTCTTAGCAGGTAATAGGAGACCCAGTGCACTGAAGGCTGGTACAGTTCTCAGACCAATCAGATGCCTCTTTCCTCTATCCTCAGAATGAGAAGCAAGCTCTAAAGCTGCCCAAGGTCCACCCTCATGCCATTTCTGATGGGAGATCTCCATGACTACTGAGTATCCTTATAGAGGATTCCTCTAGCATCCTTTCTTCTTCAAAGACCAATGTCGCTCCACTTCCAACACAGATCCTTGGCTCCCAGCAGCCAATTTATTTCAGTAACCATGTGGATTCATACTCTACTTCTAGAAGTGCCACATCCAATAATTTGGACGCAAGAAACAGGAGAAAATCTAAACAGGGTCCACTTCTTTGCCCATCTACAAAGTCAGTTCAAGATATGTGTAGATTCTAAATTTAGCTACTTGGCTTTTTTTTTTTTTTTTGGAGGTAAAATTCAAATAACTTAAAATCTACTATTTTTAAATGTACAACTCAGTGTCAGTTATTATGTCTACAATGCTGTGCAATGTTACATCTTTTAAGTTTTCAAATATTTCCATCTCCCGCAGCTTCTTCTGTTTTTTACATTCTCTTTTCATTGCTCTTCCTAGATGTATTTAGAGGGGAATGCTGCTGCACCACAAAATAATGCTACTGCCTTCAAATACTTTTCCATGGCAGCTAATAAGGTATGTTCTCAACCCACTACTGTGAACACATACAAACAACTGGCTTTTATTATGTGCAGATTGGTGCCCAAGAGTTTACTTCAAAGTCCCAAGCCCAGATAATGGGCCTAGCAGGAGTTTTAGGTCCTGGAGAAACACAGTAACTTTGACAATGAACTACAGAGGTAAAGCGGAAGGAGGTACAAACATGTGTTTCTGATACATGGGGAAGGGCAGTGACTTGTGTCACCCTAGCAGCGACTGACTGGAGGCCAGACAACGAGTCAGTTTTGCTCTCTCCTGCGCAATAGGTGAAGCCATCTAGCTCAGGAATGGGAAATGAAAGATGAGGGCAGAAGACTGGAAAACTCGTCTGCTAATAGCCATAAGCCTAGGACAAAACCAAGCAGGAAAGGTCTAGTTTGCTCCAGTCAGATCTGAGCTTCCATTGTCCTAGGCAGGTGGCCATGACACAGTGATTAAAAACAAGGTTCTGGAGACAGACTCCTTGGCTTGTATGCCAGCTCTACAATGGTGTGTCTGTGTGACCATGGGCACTTAGCCTTCTGTGTCTCCCTTCCTCCACCTGTAAGATGAGAATATAAAATTTGGCTGATGATGATGATGTCTGGATTGAAGGATTTAGTATATATGTGTCTTACATTATAAAACACTCAAAACAGTGTCCAACACATGTAAGTGTTGTGTATCCATTATTGTCTTTCACTGTCTGAAGCCCATTAGGTAGAATGAACATCAAAGCAGATCCAAGGCAGAAATGATTGGAATTATAAGGAAATATAGAAATGTTGTAGTGGTCAGCCCTCCACACCCCAGGTTCTACCTCCCTGGGTTCAACCAACTATGGAACAAAAGTTTAATAAAACATTACATCTGTATTGAATATCTGCAGGCTTTTCTTGTCATTACTCCCTAAATAATTGCATATAACTGGTTATATAGCCTTTATATTGACAGATGATTTCAAGAATACAGGAAGATATGTGTATATTATGTACAAACATATAAGGACATCTGGGAATTCTGTTATCTGGGGAGTCCTGGAGCCATGACCCCTCACATCCTGTGGGAGGACTGTGTTAAAATCTTTTCCTTTGCTGTTCAGCTCTGTGAGGGTGACATCAGAAAAAGAAATTAATAAGCTATTCTAAATCTATTTTTTTTAATTTTTAAGAGATCACAAAAAGTAAAAAAAAAATACAGATAATACCAAATTTCACTAAACAAAATAATAGGAATTCAACAATGTTTGTTATATTGTACAACATTGTCTTCAACTAGTTGTTTAGGTTATCAGCTATAAGTGTGCAAAATTGGAGGGGGGAGTTATAAGAAATTAAAAAGGAGAAGGAAAGAAAAAAGATTTAAGCATTAACTGCTCCCTTCAGCAGACCAGCAGAAATCAACAGTACAATTACCCAACTTTCCTGCACTGTAAATTCTTTTAATGTATAAACCACTTTCTCATCCTAGCATCTCATCAATCAGCTTTTGGCAACTGGCCTTGATATATTTTCTATCCCCAAGAATAGGAAGTATTTTGTTCTCTTGGAATTTCATAGTTCAACACTTGCAGTAAAAATGTTTTCAAATTGAGGAACATTTTCAACTATTCTCAGGCTTTAAAAGCCTGCATGCTGCTTAGGAACATGTTTATAAATGAGTAGCATGTCAGGATTGCTCTTGTGATGTAAATTATCGGGAAGGCTAGTACTACCCCCCCCCTCCATAATATAGTAATTTATGCACAACTTTTGCTCAGCAAAACAATTATCTGAAGCACCATTAGATAAGGAGGACCAGGAAGGACAGGCCATAACGGAAGTATCTGAAAAAACCTTTTATAATCTGGCAGATAATGTTGATTTGTCTGCCTAAAAGAATATCAGGTGCCATGTGGGGCCCACCCCCAGGGTGCACTGACAGGGCAATTGAGACTGGGTGTGGTGGAGCATGCCTGTAATCCCATTGCTTGGAAGGCTGAAAACAAGTGGATCATTACAAGTCTGATGTGCTTAGTGAGGTCCTGTAGACCCTGTACTAAATACACAAATTTCAAAAATAATAATAATAAAGAATGTCAGGAAATCGGGTCTGTAAATTAGCCTTAACTATTCAGAGCTTGGTAGCTAGCAGTGATCTCAGTTACACATATGCTAAACCTGAGTTTTCTGGTTTTGTTTTTTGTTTTACAAAGGAAGCCTAAAATTGTACTTAAGGCAACTATTCTGAATGCCATGAGGTGGATACTGACACAAACTCCTACTTTTTAATTTTGTTTGAAATTTATACCTGTGACAGGACACAAAATGGCCAATTTTACTACCTCTTTTGTATTATTCACTTGCAAACTTTTTATGTAAAAACAAAATATTTATGTGACATTGAGCCCATCTTGGATGACACTCCTCTGGCTCTGTCTCACAGCTCTGGACACATCAGACCCAATTCCATCTCCTCACATTTGTTTTATCCTCAAAAGTCCCACAGTCCAGACCCTATTCAGCCCAAGAGCAAAGCTCAGTCCTCTGTCTTCTTTCCCCAAAGCTGTCCTACATGCCTTGGGTAACTTAGTATCTTCCTTCTAAATTTTCCCCTATTCATTCTTTATCCTGCAGCTTCCTACTTTCTGATTTCTTCCCTACTGTCTGGTTCCAAGTCTCATCACCTCAAGGAGGACAAGGTCCTAGTCAATAGCTAAGTTCATTTAAATATTTGGCAAATGAATACTATTCCCAGATTTCTATCAGCCTAAGTAAGACCATTTTTAAACCCAAGTGAGGAAGCTACATACTGATGGTTTCCTACACATATGTTGTATTTGGCTCAGAAATATTTTTAAAGTCTGTAAACTTCACATCAAAATGTGAAAATTCAGATATTTTCATGGCTCACTGGTGCAATGACTGGGTATTTCATGCCATGGTGTAAACTGCACGTCCATCCAACCTTATCATGATTTTGTTGTATTACCCATATGACATGGGGGGAACATTATGCATTTTGCTTTAAAAAAAAAAAAAGACAAGAGTTAACCACATCTGACTATAACCCATGTGATAACAAGTGGCTGGCGCTCTGCTGTCTTTAGACAAGGCAGGTACGCTCTGGTTTGGCCTGGCCTCTGCCTCCCTCTCCATCACCTGGCCTACATTGCTGATATGGCTTCTGGAGATACTTGAAAAGGAATAGGTATTCTGGGCTCCCAACTGTTGATGACTAATCCAGTGAGCTTCTGGTTTCCCAGGAACTTCCTCAGAGAAGCAAAACACTGTGTCCCATCTATTCTAATTTTCTTACTCTTGCCCTCTTCCGTCTCTCCTCTCACTTTCATTTGCTTCCCCTCTCATTTTCCTCAATATCTAAATGAAGCTAGGTAGAAGATAGGCCCTCTAGATTTTGCCAAATTAGTCACATTAGGTCTTTCAACTCCCCACACAGAGTACAGGACTCATAGAAGCCACAAGTAAAAGTGGCCAGGAAAAAAGTAAGAAGAGAGCAGTTAAGAATTCTTAGGATAGTGGGTCCACTTTGATATGCACAGGCTCAAAGTTTGGAATCTTGAAACAGTATTTAAAATATACCTTCTCTATTTTTGTGCCACTCTATGTCAATGAGGTATATCCTGGTTGCGTCAATAATAGCAATATTTAGACAGTAAGAAGAAATCTGGAGAATTTTCTATCAGAAATTAATTTCCTGGGGAAATACCTGTGAGACAAACCTACATATCTGCTGAAAGAAAAATCAAGTGACTACTATTGGCCTCTTACATGGTCAACTGAGAATGAAATGCATAAGAGATGAAAGAAAAGAAAGGTGTTTTAGTTGGGGAAGCCATTTGTGGGGCTTAGTCCTTACCTGGGATTGATTTGTGAACTATCTATATATTTGAACTTGTGTAAGTTATCCATTATCTTCAAGTACTAAATATGCAGAATAACCTCTTCAGTATTCAGAATGTTAGTCAAAAGAATAGGCAGTAGTTGAGCATCAAGTGAAAAAGAAAACATCAGTGATCTTACAAGCAGTCAAATTTTGACAAAGAAGCACATGTGCACAGTGCTTTCCTGGCTAGACTGAAATCCACACAGCCTCTAATGTTATTTGATCTTTTAGGTCAACCTCTTTGACCAAAGTGGGCAATTGACAGGATTGACTTTGCCTTTCTGGAAAACTCCTATATAGTCTTTAAGATGCAGCTCAAAGGCCAC